AGACGACGCACCGCCTCTGAACGCTGAAGTTATTAGCAAATTTTTGCAGCCAATGGGCTTGTTCCACAATTTTTTTTTATTTTACCAATCGAAAGTACAACTAAAAAATAACAGATCTACCAAAAATTAGTATTTTATTCGTACGTTTAGTACCTCAAAAACTCGTACAAACATCTATTGCGCGAGAAAGGGGCGTGGCCAGCCGCTACGTCATAGCACCACAGGTCGGCTGGCGACCGCGCTTGATACAGGCTCGATACAATGCACAGGTCTGCTTTGCCCGATTACAGAAAGTGTGTTTTAAATTTATAGTATAACGTAGTGTAGTACCCTTGTTTATAATACAAGGGTAGTACTAAAGTCTTTCTTTTATTCAATATTAGTGTAAAAAAGACAAGGAAACGTTGTGTAGTGCCAGAATGCACAAATACGAATAAAAATTCCCCAGAAAAACTATTTATTTCTTTACCGTCCGACATAAAGTTAAGACGAGCATGGCAGCATGCAATGCGAAGACATTTTGAGAAGAGATTTTGTTGTGAAGATCACTTTAATGTAAGTTAATACTTACAAGTAGTGTTTCCTATTTTTTTTAATATAGGTTGAAGAAGACAGAAAATTACATATATGTACTTAAAAACTATGAAATCGAGAAGAATAAAATTAAAATCAGGTGTTATTCCTTACATTTTTGAGCGCCAAAAAAACGATCTTCTGCTTCAAATACTGTAAAGCCTCGAGGATTGGCGAAAAAAAGAGAACAAGCAGCCATTATTAAGAAAATATTAAAAGACGCGAGGCAGGAGGCAAATGAAAACTTTCATTTCGGGGCCAATACAGTAGACAAGGATCTTAAAATGCATGATCAAGAGCAATCAAGAGGAGCGCATTTCAAACCATCAAATTTATGCAGCCACATAAGAAATGCTATCGCGTGCTTGCACGTTCGGATGCGGCTTCTATTACACTTTGCTTCTATTACACTTTTTCTACTAGTATTTATAATAATGCTTTAATTGTTTCTTACTTCTTAAACATTCAGATAATATCCATATATTTTTTTTTACTTTTTCTTGGGTAAAAAAACACAGTCATCACACTAATTTATACAGACTGGTGCTAGCAAGGCGACTTCAAGAATAAAGTGCCTGATAAAGCCCACTATGTTGGAGCGAAACGTCGCATAAAAAAAATCTTTCGATTTATTAAAAAAATCTCGTACCCCAGAAAAAGTAAAAAAATATATGGATATAATAATGCATTGTACATTATAATTTTTTGCATTAATTTTGTGCTCCGGTGTAATTTTTGCCACTACTTGTCATAGTGATTGCTGTTGTTTTAACTTCACATATTATCCAATGGCATTATTACCATAATTTTGTCTGCCGGATCTGTAAGAAAAAAGTACATAGCTTACGTATCAGTTTTTACCTTAAAGTAGAAATATTTTTCTATATATTTATTGTATTACGTCTTTTCGCGGACCAACCTCGAACTAGTCCTAGTCAATCACATATCTTAAAATCAATTCAGTATTTGTCACCTGTATATGAAACCACTGATTTTTTCTGCTTCGTGAATTTTTCGCGAGAATATTTATTAATAATTGATCAAAATTAATTTATTTTTGTTTTTTTTTAATTAAAATTTTTAAAATTTAAAAAATTTCAAAAATAATCAAAAATATTTTTCTACAAGCGTGTTAAAATGTTTTACGCCACACTCCGATATATAATAATATTACTTTAAGGTACTAGCGCTTTAAAATTTACTTTAGTCATTAAAGGAAACAAAAAAATATATATTTGAGGAAAGTATCTTATTTACTTGTACAATTATTATGTATTAATTCAATATTAATTATATTCATATTCTAACTTAATTATATTATTAATATAAACAATAAACAATTGTTAATTCAATAATTAGCCGAAAAGCCTCAAAATGCTAATTAATTGTATTAATGTTACAAATAGAAGAAGATTGCATAGGTTAGTTAAGAAAATGCATAGGTTGCCTTCTTTCATATAGGGTAAATAACCCTTTGTTTTTTTACCCTAGCGAGCCGCCACTGCTTTCCGATACAGATATAGGTATTTAAGCAATAGAAAATATCTTAGAAATATAATAGAAATTAGAAGGAAAATATAATAGAAATTAAAAGGTTTACTTAGGTACCTTTGTAACTTTATTTCCTTCATTTCTGAACTAATAAACTCCTTATTTTTATTAAAATAATCCATTATCATAAAAATGTCCACTTCTGGGAGATTGCCCGAATCAGCTTTATTGAACCTTTCTCCTACCGAATGCATCTTGTGAAAATAAACCAACGAAATAGTCTAAATAACGATAAAATGACAAATCACATTAATTCAAATGAGTGTTTCCGTTACGAACTGATTGACGGCCGAAGTCGGGTGTAGTGGAACTACGTCACGAGGGGGCGGAGCCTCGTCTAGCCGTTACAAACTTTAAGCTCTCATATCTCGAAAACGGCAAAAGATTTCGTTTTGAAATTTTAATGGTGCACTTATTATAATAAGTAGTATCCAAAAACGTTTAAAAAACATACAAATAGGATATGATGGAACAAGCCTATTTCAAGAATAATTGGATAGCTAACCAAGATCCCAGCCGTTGGCCGTCGAGGCCGCCTGACTTAGAGCCCATGGATCTAATCCTATGGATATATTTGCGAATAAATGTTCCTTATTCTTCCGTATAATCTAGACAAGAATTAAAAATACTTAGCAGTTATGAAAGGGTATCTTTCATCTGTCACCCCCACTGAGTTAATGAATTCCGCGAGGAATGTTCAAAAACTGCCCCGTCTGTCCATAACAGATATAAGGTTAATATGTCGAACACCTGTAGAAAAATCTCATGTCTTGGTTTGCTATTTATTTTTATTGTTATTAGATATAGTTTAAATGTGTTGATGTTGGTTAAATATATTTTAAATTATTATAAAATTCTGCATCTCTCATAGCAAATATTATTTTCGTTTTAATTGATGCTCACAGCTAGAATTTTTTTGCATTACAGCCGGTGCCGTTCAAAGCCTATACTTATTTAAAGCGGGCGAATTTTTATATACTCTATATCTCGAAGAGAAATCGAGCACAATATCAAGTGTGTTATATTTTTGGAAAGGTAATTTTAAATCCTTTTCAATAAATTAAAAATATACAGGGTGTCCCATATAAAAAATCAAATTTTCTGTTGATAATTCTTAAATTATTAATTTTAAAAAAAATATACTTAAACCATTAAATTCTACGTAAAAAGGTGCTTTGGAAATGTTTTCATAAAAATACAAAATTTTTCATAGCAAAAAAGTTACAGTGATTTGTTAAAAATGCATATTTTTGAAAAACACCCCGTAACTCCGAAACGGTAACAGATATCGATATGCGGTTTTCACCATCATGTTTTTGAAAATTAAAAAGCGACATCTTGGAACTGAATTGAATTTAAAAGTGTGATTAAGTGTTAAAACTATACCTTGTAGATCCTTTGTTTGCGTAAAATACAAACGTGTCTGAACAGAGGCTATATAATTTTACAATAAGGACTTTCCATCGACTAATAATAATTGAAGGGTCGTTTATGGCTAAGCGTAAAACAGAATCGGTACAAATAATTCTGAATACAGTGGCGTAACTTGTAGTACAGATAAAACTTGACTACAATTATGTAACTAATCTAATTAAATCTAGACAGGGATACAAGAAAACGGCGCAACGGATCCGTCTGATATGTCTCTGGTAAAGCGCTGCGCGCGATTAGCGAGCATGTGACGTCACACCCACGGTAGCTCTCCTGGCAGCGTTTTCCCGCCTCGACGAAAGGATTCAAATTGAATTACGAATAACTCGAAAAGTATATGAGTATTTGTTTTCAAACTTTGTACGGTCTTTCAATATGCACAAATTTATAAGTTGCAGTTGAAAACTAAATTTTGTTGACAGACCTATTTTTTCAAATGGAACGATGGTGGTTTATTAGATATTTATTTAGAAACATAATTTTTTACGAATAATTTGATAACACACTTGGTATTTCGAGTCAAATTTTTGTTACGAAGTGCAAGTTATAATTTCAAATAAACCATATTCGAAAATGTCAAAAGTTGACATATGATATGTCATTCTATTCAGAGTGTTATTTCTATCGAATAAAGTAAAAAAAATACCTGAGGTGGCATTTAAAAATCAAAAGTTCTAGTCATTTCCGGTGAAACAGGGAGTGACCGAAAACAATTGAATATGTGAATCAATCCTAATTTATGTCATATACTAACATACCAAATTTCGTTTTTTTAACTGAAAAAATAAAAAAGTTATAGGGGTGAGCCACTTTTGAGACGCACCCGGTATAAATTATAAACGAAAAACAGAAACGTGTTTTCCTGTATTGTTTTAGTTATTCTAAAGCGGAAAAACTGAAAATTATGCATTTTCGCAGAAAAAATGTCTTGACTTTCAAATACTAAATAAACACATATTACATAATGATTTCAGCTAAACTAAAGTAGCCGTCATTTCAGTTGAAAAACTGAAAATGATACACTTCCACAGAAAAAAAGTTGTGACGTACTAAAAGGCTTCCAAATCCTAAATAAACAAATATTTCTTACATAACTGATTTCAGCTAAACGAAAGTAGCTCTGATTTCAGCTATATCTAAAGTTGAAAAACTCAAAAAGGATGCATTTCCACAGAAACATTTTTGTGACATACTATTCGAAAAGGCTTCCAAATACTTCATAAACAAATATTTCTTATACGAGTATAACGGATTTCAGCTAAACGAAGGTTGAGCCAAAATTAGTATGGCACTAATAAACCGGAATTTAAGCCATATTAATCCGCTATCGCGTTTTTCCTAAGTTTGTTAATTCCTTCCTTAATCTTTTTATTCAAAGATATAACTGAAACATTGTGTTGACTTCATTCAGTATTATTACAAATATTTCTGTTGTATTTTATTAGGACATGGATGCAAAGGAAGTGGCTTCGACATCAGAAGTCAATTGTGTTGTCTCAAAAAACAGTATTAATCAGACTACGTAGTTCATCGCACAAAACCCTGGCCTTGACATAATTATTTTAACACTCAATTGAAGAACAAATTAGAATTATATAATTCTTAATCAGCTTTAAGCTTACCGCATGATATTCTGTTGATCTCAGTTTTCTATATTTATTTTAGTTTAAGTTGAATATAAAATGTTAATTTATTGTTAGGATTTTGACATGTCGTTTGTATGTTTTGTATTTGTTATTTAATTGTTTTTATTACTGCATTTAATGCATTCCTGTTAATTAAATCGCTGATGATTATATTTATATACACACCAATTATAAATGATTGGTGATGAACAATTTATATGCGCACCGCAATTCAAACTATTACTTATGTACCAATTTTTAATATAAGATAATGATTCATCATTGATGTATACATATTATTGGTTTTTAAAGAGGTTATTTTAAATATTTTTATTCTATTGCCTTTCAAATATATGTATATTATATAGGGTGGTCCTAACTGTATTCCTAAAACTTGGGCAGCATATTCTGCAGATAAAGATAAGTAAAAAATAGTACCTAAAATGCTTTGTTTCGGAGATACAGGGTGTAGAAGTTTCATTTTTATTTCGATTTTTTCCAAGTAATTTACAAAGTAACGTCAATATTGGGATGAAAATTGGTGTCTGGGAGTATTTTTTGACCTGAGAACTTTGATGTCAATATGACTCCTACTTGTAGGGGGCACCACCTACATATTTTTTAACTGGTATGAAGAGTAATAACTTTTCGTGTACCTGTATAAAACTACCGAGTAAAAAAATATACATTAACGACATTTTTTTTACGCGAAAAAGATATCTTGGTAAAAATCGCTACGAGTAATGGTAGTAATTTATAAATTCTCTTAATTCTACTTTATCAATTCTCTAATCAATCTAATTTATCAATACCTGTCATCATTGACATAAATTAAACATGTTGACTAAATAATTATTAGACTGAAATCATAAATTTGAAATGTTTTTGTGCTAAAAGTGCAACAGATACTGTTTTATCATGTATTTGAAGCTCCAAGAAAAAATTATGTTTAATTTAAAGAAATAAAAAGTTCCAAAATGTATTATATCAGTCAAATAACTATCTACTCAACATGTTTATTTTTTGTCAACGATTACATGTATGGACTATTTCCATTCTAAATATCGGTTGTATTTCCATTCTAGAACGGTTGCTTGTAGCGATCTTTACCAAGAGACATTTTTTACATAAAAAAAATCATGGAAATGTATATTTTTTACTCAGTAGTTTTTTTATACTGGTACGGACGAAAAGTTATTACTCTTCAAAACAGTTAAAATACATTTAGGTGGCGCCCCCTATAAATAGGTGTCATATTGACATCAAAATCTCATGTCAAAAAAACTTCTAGACACCAATTTTCATCCAGATATTGACGTTACTTCAGAAATTATTCGGAAAAAATCGAAATAAAAATGAAATTTCTACACTCTGTATCTCAGACACTAAGCATTTTAGGTCATATGAACTTTTTTACTTATTTTTATCTGCAGAATATGCTGCTGAAGTTTCCGGAATACAGTTTGGGCCACCCTGTATTTCTCTGATAATGACGAAATACTATGGAAAGTCCATAATTTCATATTTAAAAGTGACAAGTGATTTTATCGTGAAATTTGAAGGTATTTATTTTCTGTATGTATCTAAAACAGATTTGAAGCCTTAATATTGTAATGTGTGTAGAAAGTATTAAAAGCATTAAATTATTGGAAATAAGATTAATCGGAATTTCTTCAGCACATCCAATAACAAAAAAAAATTCTTTATATTTTAAATATAAAAAATGCTATAAATATGCTTCATATTAGGTTTGTTGTTGCTTTTTACATTTTTTGCACTCGAATATTTTTTTGCAAAAACGTAACAAAAAAGTTGCTCTTTTGCTAGTATTCTCGTAAACTCTAGAACGAGTTTGGGATGTGATGCGTAAATGTCAACTTGGCGTTACATTGCCAGCAATAGTGTATCTAGATCTATACCTTATTATTTCCAGGTATTAGCGTTGAGGTAAAATTATTTTTACACATTAACAGTTATTACTCATTTATTATCAGTATAATATACTGATATACACATATTATGTGTATTAATCCTCTAGCCATAGTGTTTATTCACTTCATTTGTTTTGCTTCTATCCTATACTATCTTTAAAGGATGTAATAGCATTTACTGCTCTGGCCACTGTTTCATACATGTTGCTAGTGGCTTCTTTTATGGAAGCCGCTATCAGTACAGAGAAGATATGACACTATAACAATGTATAAAGTTACTGCCAATTTTATAAGTTATAGCATGCGTTTTATACTCATTGGATCCATATTTTCGAAATTTTGAGGATAACATTTTTATTACCAGTTTTTCCCTCATTAGGCATGGACCATGAATATTACTCTTTGAAAGTGTTTGAACAATTGATTTTAGGAAATGAAACCATTCGTCTAGGCTATTGGTATAGGTGTATGTTTGATTTTACCGTGTATAATTTGCACATTTTTTTGCAAATAAACGTTGTTTTGCGGCGAAATGCGTAGTTTTTTTTAAATATTTTAGAATTTCAGTCTTCGCTGATTCTTTTTTATCTAGGTTATATACGTCTGTTATATTTGCACTTAGTTACTACAGAATTTATTACTGAGTTGCGGTATTTAGATCTAATGCTAAATGCTGATAATGTTGATGTTGAAAGGATACCAGAATGTAGGACCACCGCCACCTTTAAAATACCGAAGAGTACTAGTGGTCTGTATATGGAACAAGATCCACACTCGTAGTGCCATGGGAAAACCCTCCTACATACCTTGAAAAGGGCTGAACTGAGTAGGTTCATTTTCGAGGTCGGGAGGCTCATGGAACACTGCGAGTTTCACCATAGAATCTTCCGTCCGGATTACAAGAACTCTATACAGACCGAAGATGCCTACTCGTATTATTATAGTGTATATTCAACCCATTTACTAATATCCAAGAGTGTATTCAAATCACGCCTGTATTGAAACTGAAATATTACCCCTATTCAACTGGAAGCTAAAAGGACGTTTGGGTTACTCAGCAAGTTTTTTTAAGAAATTTTCAAGAAAAATGAGCCACTTAATCAAATGGCTATTCAAGGAATTAAAGACTAAAACAGAGGTGGAACATATTGTAATAGTTAAACTCAACAGGCTCCTTAATTCACTAATATCAAGTCACGCCTATATTGCAGACGAATATATTTTGTAACCCTTAACTACCTATTTCATATGCCTGTCCAACGAGGGAAGATTTCGACAGACGACATCCAAAAAGTGACACAGGGAAGTGACAAGAAAAAAAAATCATTTAAGAGCCTCCAATAGATGCTGTTTCCATTGGTCAAAGGGTTGTCTGGACTGTTTTCCCTCACAACAAACTATACAGTCTTGTATGTTAATTTTCATATCTTCGGAATAGCTTACGCAATTTACTAGACTATTTCTCATTTTATTTAGATAGGTGGAATTAATATTTACTTGTCTCCTGTGCTATATTTCATCAGTTACTGATTTTCCAACAAAATTGGCCTTTTCTGAAGTGTTAATTTTGTGTACACCATCTGTGAAAAAAGCTTTTGCCACTAGATACTACACTAAAGGCGCTTTTTGGCGGATCCTTTTTGCTGGAATGGCTGTCCTTATTTTGCTTTTGGTTTCCTTGCTGGCATTTAGACATAAAATGCTTAGCTTTTATACATTTGTAGCAAATCACCTCACTTCAGTACTCTCTGGACCTGGACGACGTCCTTTGTTTTTATTTAGGTTCTGAGACAGTTGACGTTGACTTCCCACGCCCTCTATAAAAGCACCAGCTGATTGATTTGTACATTTCCTGCCATCTGTCTGCATATCGATCAACTTCGCTTTGATTGTCTCAGCTGTAATGACCGTGTCGCTGTGTTCAATGGCCATGATCATCGGAGTAAATCTGTCTGGCAATCCAGCCAATAAAAGAGATCCGACCCATTCAGAGCTGATATCGAAGCCACTTGGCTTTAATTTCTACGAAATTTCGATCATCTGGCTAATATAGCTTACCATGCTCTCACAGTTGTCTAGCCTCAAGTTAATAAGTGATCTTAAAAGGTCATTTTTTCTTGTAAAACCTTTTGCGCCATAGAGCTCTTTCAATGTATCCCACAAGTCCACGGCTGTTTTTGCTTCACGTAAATCGAAGGATCAATCGATAAAACAAGCTTCGCTCTATCTTTACTCAGCTTATCTGCGTCTGTTTTTTTGCCTTGTTTAAGCATTTCGAGAGTCCATCCAACACAAAAACATTTTCAATGGCGTAAGCCCAATCGTCCTAATTTTCGCGGCCTAATAATTTCGGCACTCCCGCTAAATAATTAACTGACGACATTTTGAGTCTTTCACGTTAAACTACAAACTTTTCTACAATTCTCAATCCGATTTTTGACAGATTTTTTTCGCTGGTTCCATAACCTGTTGAAATTTAGTCGAAAAGGAAGTAAAAAACTGGAGTCACATAGTTCGGTTTTACACTATCTAAACTAAACGACTAACTTTATTTTCAAAAATCGGCACTAGGTGCTATATGACAAATACATATTATCATATACATCATATCAATATGTTTAGATACAATATTAACAATTGTCATGGATCCTCCCGTTGGACAGACTAGTTAAAAGGATAATGGGCTTACTCAATTAGTTCTTTGTTGGAATATTTCATAAATATATTTTAATATACCTAAATGAAGGAATTTAAAATAGGAAGAGTACATAATAATTCAATAGTTGGACCTAAATAGACTTTGTAATACAGCAACTTTTGAATTTAAGTTTTCTGTTTGAAGGTTTATTTCTTGAATATTTTTAATTTTTGTTTTTAGGATTGATTTATTGTTTTGTAGAAATACATGGGAAGACTTATCTGTATAGTTCTTGAATGGTTTACAGATGCGTTACGCTTTGCGCCATTAAATCAATTTGTAGGCAATACTTCGACAAGTAGGAAGGAATTATTACTGTCTGTGCTTATAAGTACGACTAATGAATGATATTGATTAATTCTTTGCCAAGGTAATAAAAATTCGCATACATATCCCGATCCACGACGAGTGTTTGTCTAGGAAATTCGTAAGTTACCGAATGTTCCTCACCGCCGCCGATCCACCCTTTCCAGAGTCTGCAGCTCTCACAATGACAACAACTTGTGTTTACCGTTGTGCTCTTGACAGACCCCGGATGTTATAAACGATATCGTGAATTCTATAATAAATTCATTTGCAGATCAAAGATCAATAGATTTACCACCCCTATCATTGATCAAAGACTACGTCAGTTCTTTGTGCATGATACTTGGTTATCATTTGGAAAAGGTTTCGTAGCTTCTTTGATAGGGTGAA